GGCCAATCTCAGCAGCGCTGGTGGTGCACTGGACAGCAACAGCCATGAGGAACCAAGGACTGTACTTTTTAAAAACGTTTACCATCCCACTGACACTCGATTCAGCTGTTAGCTTGAAGTACAGCTGTAGCAGTAATGCAGCTGTACTTACAAGCTTGGCGACCTTCTTGCTGCTAACAAAGGCCTTGAGAAATGTTTGAATGGCGCTCAGGCCAGACACTGTCCCGTTAGTTAAGAAAAAATTCTTACTTATATCACTGAGTGGTAATAAAAGAATAACAACTCATTTATAAATTATTGAAACTTTCCATCCATAGCAAAGAACAAGCCAAGAGTGTTGTTTTTAACATGACATTTAACAAAGATGGAAACTACTGTCTAGGGGGAAAAAAAAAAAAAAACCAGACTGATCAAATGACAAGTGTCTCATCTCATGCTGTTCTGGAAGATGGGAAGGTTCATTTCACTTGCTAACACACCAGCTCCTATGGCACATTTTGCAAACCACTGTTCAAGCGGCAGCAGTACGTCTGCATGACAAAACGCAGCTACTCTTAATACAACACACATGCAGATGATGTTCACAGGATGCTTTAGCTTCCACCCGCTAATCCACAGAAAATTTGGCAGCGTTGCACGCAGCAGAAGGCTTGCTCTCCTATTTATATACAGGTTTCTCTGCTTTTTCTCTACCAAAAAAAGTGTAAGCCTTTGTGCTCGAAGAGGTGTTCACTACTGTTGCTTGAGCTAAGGACAGCTGCTGCTAGCCATGCAGGCAGACCCGCCTGCAGGGCCTGTGCTATTGCTGCCACCAGCACACGAAAACAGCACGGAAGGAGCGACAGCAGAGATGACAGGGACCAGGCAGCGAGGAAACGACCTCTTTGAGTGGAAGCTGATGTTCTAGGAAAATGCAGAAAGTAGACTCTGCAAAAAGGACAAAGCATTTGCCATGTGAAAACTTCCCTTCCCTTAATGCTTTGTTCCAGTGAACGGATGCCTTTTGCTTTATGGGACGCGAATGGGACAGAGGCAGTCTCCACGACTTAACATTTTTTGTAGGGGCTCAAGAAAAAGGGGTGAAAATCTAGTAAGCACTGAACATTTGTTAGAAAAATACTTGAAAATTGATCTTGTTAACTAAAGGTTCTTCTCCAAAGCCATGATGCAAGTGTCCTACCCTTACCTGTGCATGATGAACGTCGCAATCTGTAAAGCAAGTAGGTGTTGATAAGAATTACAGTAAAGCTGATGTACACAGCTGGTTAGAAAACAGGGCAGTTCTCACTGGTCACACAGGAGGATGCTGTGGTGGCCTCTCATGAGCTCAGTCCTCAATACTCAGTCCAGTACTAGTATTCCATCAGTAATCCATGTTGCAGCATATATTATGTGCTTGTGAGAGCTGCGGACAAGATCAGGCTTGAAGGTGCTCTAAATTACTGATAAATCGGAGAAGTGCTCCAAAACAAACAGGACACAGTTCAAGAGCACACAAACAAAACACCACGCTTAACAGAGGCACTCAGCAGCACAGATCTGTGATATAGAACAAGAGGCTGTAACTAGTGGTTCTGCAAAAAAAAAAAAAGAATCAGAAGAGAGTTACAGAAAATCTAGCGTGAATTGGTGTCATAGTGTTGCAAAAACGTACTGAACGTGCGAACTGGCTCAGTACATTAATGAATAAGGGGCTGCAGGATACGCTGGCTGCGACAGCAGGAGACAGGACGTTACAGCGCGTTAGAGCCTGACTCCACGTTCCTGTGCACAAACAGGAATTCTGCACATCGATAATTCTGTTCCTCCATCTGGTACCAATCGTGATCTCTGCTGGAACACCAGGGCCAGTTACCAGCAACACTTCAAGAAGGCTGGGTACCAGATGGAGGGAAGGAAGCGAAAAGGATCACGCCGCTCTTCAGTTTTTTCTCAGCTAGTTTATTTGCTTTACAGAAGACAGAGAATGAAGGCAGAAATTACAGCCATCTTCAAATAAAAGACTGCTGCTGCAAAAAAAAGGTAATTAAATTTTCTGTGACCGTACAGAAGACAAGTAGTAAGACGCTTACAATGAGTCAGGGAGGTTTAATTAGATTTAGGAAAAACCCCAAACTTTCCAACTGCTGTGAGAGCAGCAAAGAACTGGAGTGAACTACTTGACGAGTTCATGATACTCCTGGTATTGAAAGTTTAAAATCAGATATTAAACATTTGCCAGGAGTAGTTCCTTTTGAGAGGGAGCTGAAATAGGTGCCCTCTAAAAACCCCTTCCAGGTCCGTTTCCATGACTCTGTATTTGCAGATACAGTTCATGGCCAAGCAAGGTGATTTTAGGTTATCAGCACTTTGTTACTTACACTCCCACACACCAAACAATCACCTTCTAAAAGCTGGTTCCATTAGTGTTCTGGGTGAATTTCATCCTGTATGTTAAAGCGCTATACCACAGTGCTTGACAGATGTTTCCTTACCACCTCTGAATTCCACTACAAGGTTTGCGTGGTTTTTTAAGATCATTTATGGTCACTGATCAAAAGAAACGGCTAATAGCCAAGTACACAGTACACAGTCCTGTGACAAATTTTATCTGATACAAAAAGGTCTTAAAGGTGAGAAGTAAATGTAATAAACATGCTCCAAGTTACACAACTCTGGGTGTTCGAAACCAGAACTAATTCAGTTATGCAGCAGATCTCACTTAAATTGATTCTACAGGTTAAAGGCAGACAATTACCTACACCCTGTTCGGCATATCCAGCAGTAACGACACTGTAACTACTGATTGACAGAGAAACACATTTATGTGCTAATGATTGTTGGTAACGAACAGGATAAACAAGCCACTGGAGAGATGACCCAGACCTGTTTTCAAGGAGACCTGTAATACTATGAACCAATTGCCAAATTCTGTTCTAACCTCTGGCAAGGATAAAAAAACCCAAACAAACAAAACCCCACACATTAATTTTGGCACAGACATCTGGATTCTGCCCCAAAAAACCCATCATCATCAAGCTCTCACTGTATTTGCGGAAGACGGGTTAGTGATGTGGACATAGGTTGCAAAAACCAACATACTTATTTATGTATATAAAACACATGGATATTGGAAGAAGGAAATAAAATTAATTCATTTGGACTTAAATTCCTTCTCTCCCCTAATTACATGTTTACTTTCATCAGTAGGTCACAGAGGTTATTAATGTGTCAGAATGCACACTGTTTTATATAAATTGTCTTTGCCCCCAAAACAAGTACTTTGGTAAAAATTGTCCTTTCCAACTGACTTCGTTAAAGCATAGCTGATAACTTAATACAACTAGGGAAGATCAGCTAAAATCATATAACAAATGCTAAAATTGAACTCAGTCCAATATAAAATGGCCAGAATAAAAAAAAAAAAAAAAAAATCATATAAATAGTCATATGTACACTTTGGTTACCAACTCTGCGGTTGACGGTACTACAGTGAGCTGTAACCTGACTCTCAGTGCAAGTCACCTGTCCAACTATTAAAAAGAAAAAAAAATAATTAAAAAAATCAGAATGCACCAAAAATAGTTAATGATCAGAATCATGCTGCTCTTCTCTAAACTGGAGAAGAGAATTTCAGCATCTCCCGGCTCGTCAGCCACACAGGCAATGGTGTCTCACACGTTCCAGCAGCAAGAAAACAGTTCAAAACTTCCTGCCTGCTGAAGGTTCTGGCTAGCACCATTTCTGTGCAAGTTAAGTATGCTGGCTTGGCACTGCCATCCAACGCCATATTTTTTGAGAGTAAAATCTTATTTGTAGTGTATAAATGTAGCATGAGCATTTGATTCCCAACATGCAGATGGGAAATACAAAATAATAATAATAATAAAAAAAAAAGTGCTACAGACATTCTAGAGCAAAGGCAGATGCAGAAGTTCAGATGAGTAAATGGGGTAGCCAAGAGGTGGGTCCGCAGCTTGCACAGTAAGGTTTCGCAGAAGAACGGGGTGTGCCTGGATGCTGTAGCGTTCTTCATCATCGTTTGTAGCGTACAGCAGCTCCCAGGACAGATTTGCCCACTGACCTCGGACAGCTTCGTCATTAAGTTTTCCCACTTGTACTAACAATTCCTGAAGAGTGAGGACTCGCCCAGTGTAAATTCCCTTTAAGAACAAACAGATAAAAACGTTCAGTACATTCTCTGAGAAGCTACACAAGCATTTTGCTTACAAAGTGCTGAATGAAGCTTTGGGGCTACATACTATGAATATCATCATTTAAAAATGGCAAAGCGTATAAACTAGTCTCCTCGGTTCAATTCTTCCGTCTAGGAAGATAGCCAGGAAATACTGCTGCATCTGAAGAACAATGCAGTGTGATTTTCAACAACAGTGATGTCAGCTCCTGTCTAGTACAAACATAAACTGGTTGCACAGCCTTCATGTTTTGGAATGCAATAAAAAAGATAAAAAGCAGTGGAAAAGAAACCCAAAGTTTGATCTTGCTTCCTAGTAATTTTATTTCTTACCATGTTCGGATCATGGCCCAGTGAAAAAAGGTATGGCTTTTCCTGAAGAACTGCTTGCTGCCACTCAAGATCTGATACCAGTCCAATGTACCAATCATTTTCATACTCTTCCAGATAGTTAACCAGCTCTTTGAAGTTCTCAACTGGACCCAGGCTTGCTTTGTCAACCATGAGTTTAAAAGTGTATCTGAAAGGTACAAAAAGCCGTACAGTAAGTAGTGCAGCAAAAGACAGGAGGAAGAAAGCCTCTTCAGGCTAGAAAAGGCAAGAAGGCACCATCAAATCAAGCACCAGCTTACGCAACTTTATAAGTTATCGCTTGTCAGCTGAGTCACTACAAGTTAGTACGGGTATGCTTTTAGCTCACCCAGATGTAAAACACATTAGCTTAAACATCTTTCATTCACCTCAAACACTGTTACCGCTGCCTGATAATGGCAAGTGCCAAACATCTAACTCCATCACAATTCTCTTAGATTATGGGGACAATGAAAATGGGTCGGTTTTTCCCCACTTAACACAGCGGATTTCCAGTGCTGGAGGCAGCTGCTGTGGGGAAGGGAAGAAGGAAGGAATCTCCGTATCACAGTCTTCGCTGCCTGGGCTTACAGGCAATATTTGTGTAGGAAGAAGCTACAAATATATTTAAATGATATGGTTTTAACATGAACTGCTCTTAGTGAAGTGATACTTACTCTCAAAGCACAGGACTCTATATCATTTTTATAGTCTGAGGGAGTATTTTTCTTTTACCTGAATGCTTTTAATGCAAGTTGGAATAGCTCCGGTTTGCTGGTTAGCCAGTCCAAACCAACAGACCATGGAATACCACCAGTGTATGCTCTGAACACATGGCTCGGGGCAGGCACGGTGTTATCCAGTCCAAACAGACCAAAACAACACGATAATACTCCATGAATGTATAAGTCTTTCAAAGCTTTATCTTTCATAAGGTCTTCAAGTAAATTGGAAGGCTTTTCTTTCAGATGAAAAAAGTCCAGTTGACTCAAAATGAAGTGGTACCATTCTTCTGGAAACCTCTGCCTCATTTCGTTGACTTTGGAAGTAGGCACCGGGGCTGTTCTCCATTCTTCAGGGATGCTCAATAGCTCTGAGTAACAGCAACTAAATTCAACCTGAGGTAGAACTTCTTGCTGTTTCCCTTTGTCTACAGCAGGAAGCCCAAGCACAACAGCCCTGTATAATTTATCTTCTGGTGACATTTCTTGTGGGACATCTTGGCTCTGTGTTTCTACAGATCCTGGAATAGAGAGATGTACTTTTGGTGTAGTTACCAGCTGCCCAAGTTCTTTTCTGTCTTTCATTCTGCCACTGGGTTCAAGATCAAAAATGTCACTATCATCAGTCCAGTCCTCGATTGTATCAACACTAAAGCTATCTTCCTCCCTGAGAGGCCTGGATCTTTCTACTGCACCGCTATGCTGATTTTCTGGAAATGATCCTTTTTTGTTCTTGTCAGCATTGCCTGGGCTTTCCAATGTTTTTGATTTTTTATAACAATACTGGACAAGCATCCATACAAGCACTTTAATGAAATCATCTTTCAGATGTTTTAAATTCTCATGAGAGTCAATTATTCCAGATAACACGTTTCTGGCATCGGAATACAGCCGCACAGGTAGAACAGTACAAGGAGTCAAAATGTGTCCAAAATGGTGATTAGGCGAGAGAATCTTTGTGTGCTCCTGATGTTCAAAGGCCATTTCAAAAATTTCATCAACTCTGTGAGCTTCAGCAGCATGACAGGATGTTTCCTGCAATTCTAGCCCCTAAAGCATAAATGAAAACAATCTGATTTTAGTCTTCTCCACTGCATATCCTTAAATGCTAGCAAGCCGTTTTCTTGCAACAAATTTTTTCTGAACAAATAAAGATACGTTCCATTGTCAATATTTCCAGGACTGAACCTACAAATCTAACTAAACATAACAGTAATAGCAAAGCACTCGCTACAATATTAGACACAAATCAATGTCTTACAAAAGATAAATCTTTGCCTCATACAGTTCGTATTAGCCAGCTTATTAAAGATGTTGTGTCACAAGCTAGACGATAAGAAAATTTCACATCTGCTAAGCATGTCAGTTGCAAGACTAGTTAATATAGCGATAACACTCACCTTAAAAAATTGACCGTACATCAGGTTAATTAGTTATACTGCTGAAATGTTATACAGCAAAATGTTTGCACGATTTCAAAACATTAATATGCCAGTCCTTAGCATGCTGTTACCTTAATGTTAACACCACAGTAAGTGAAGCCTTTTTCTAGCACCAATATCCACATCAGTCTATCCTGAAAACGGCACAAGTAATGTGATCCAGGTAGAGAGAGACCTAGACAAGAAAAAAAACCACAACAAAAACTATGGTATTACTGTGGTATTATATTGACAAGAATATTTTCTATGTGCCAACTGAGGAATTCAGCTGCAAACACAAAATACTTCTGCATCAACATGAAAATCAGTTAAAACTGGCTAACTAGTACCCCAGAATCTTAAAGAAACTAGCTGCAGAGCCAGATCTTGAAATTGTAGCGCTATCTTTGAAAAAGCTGTGGAAAACTGGGAAACCCTCACACAACTGCAGGACTACAATATTCATACTGGACCAGGGTTAAGCAACCCCACCCTCAATTCCCTTTGTAGAGACAACTTTCATGATTAAAAATCGTCTTTGGCTGCATTTCCAACCGCACAGTTCCCACTGATGTCACCTGGAGATCTAAAATTCTTGTGACTGATCTAAAATTCTTGTGAATACATTAAAGAATCATCATCTAGCACATGAGTATCTTAATGGCCTATTTGCTGTGGAATATGAAGTTTGTTATGGGACAAATGAAAATGTAGCTCAACAGGATTGTTTACCTACACTACCAGTTCCTAAACTGACTTGCCTGTATTCCAGAATGATTAGAAAATATCCCTTAGGATGTGAAATCCAGAGTGTAAATGATTCTGCTGAAGTGTCAGCTTACCAGTGACATAATAGCACACCCATTTTACAGATACATAAATAGAGGCAGAGCAAGAGCACATGCTCATCTTTAAACACTTGTGAATCAGTATCATACACACTGAACACTAACAGTAGATACAGTGGAAATCATCTGTAGTCGTTCTGAAATACCTCTCTGTGTGTGTGTATGTGGGGGGGGAACAAATCTGATCCCACTGTATTAAGTCTGACATCACCAAAAATACAGCCACACAAAATAAACTGGAATTTGAAAATCAAGTCTTGAACAACTTCAGATCACACATCAAGGTAACTAGTACTCAAAAATCCCACAATCCAGCTCCCACTATAAAAATTAGATGACACTTACGCCCCCCCCAAATGGTCCTTTTTCTCTCTTCTACCTATTTCAATAAAAAGTGCAACGCCAAACTTCCTAGCAACTGGTGGTTATACTCTATTTCTTTTCAGTTACAGGCTACTGTCAGCTTCTCCAATACGATGGTGCTGTTCTTAAGCATGACATTTGCTGCCAGTTTATGACCTGCTTCTGCTGTCACTCACATCCAAGTGACCACTCACTTGCACAGAGAATTTTCGTTTTAGAGTGTGGTAAGATGAAATCTGTGAAACCAACCATTAAGCTGTAGTTAAAATTTAAGTAACCTTTTCTATCCCACTGAGCAAATGAAGTGCATTTTCTTGCTAACATTTTGCGAAGATTTTAATTCTTTTCTTGCTAGCTGCTAAAGCTACTAGAACTCCTTTACACAGAAAAAAGTAAGGTTTTAATTTAAAATAGAGACACACAAAGTGGAACCTCTTCATTTTGAACTCATCTGAGAACACCAAATTTTTTTCTTGCTTGAAGACATTAATTCACAGATTTTCCCATTAAAGAGGAGGCTCCCTCCCACCAAGACTAGTGTTTTAAATTATTTAATCCAAGGCATACATGCCACCACAGTCCTGATGGCAATGGGGAAAAATATATATATGTATAGATATAGAATAGCTATAACAAATATTTAACAGAGAGATATAAATATATATTATAT